CCACCATCCAGTCAGAGCTGAAGAAGCTTCTTGGAGGAGAAGCAAAAGGTCTTCAAAGGAAAAACAAGGAAGTCCAGTTGCCTCCTGAAAAAGCACAGTTGGAACAACCTTGATCTGGAGGATTGAGAAAATCTACAGACTTCTATTTTTTTTAGTATTATTGTTGTTTTATTGCTTTGGTTTGTGGTACTATGATTGTAATAAAGATGGTTGTTGTAAAACATAGGTGGCGGGGGGAGAGAAATCAGGGATTTCTGAACCCAGCAAGAGATTCTCAGCTCTCTCTTCTGAAAAGCAGGAATTCCAACCTAACAGGGGGGAAAGGAACCAGGTGCTCCTTGCGTACCTCTCGGCTCTCGATCACCAGCTCGCTCACACAACGCAGGAACATGTTTTCACCTTGGCTGTCCTTCTCGTTCCTAAAACAAGGATCACAAAGAGGTCAGTGCCGCAGATCCTGCTTCGCCGTTGCAGTCGTTCAAATTGGGCAACTCCCCACCCCCCTTTCGTTTAAGCGGGGCAGGAAACAACCTGAGAAAATAGAAGTACTGCAAAGCTTCACGGGGATCTGTCGACTCAAACTTGCGGGTGTACAACATCAGAAGTCGGACAAAATTCAGGCGCCGAGTGGCCGGAGGGTCACCAGCCTCATGGCTCACTGAAATGGGAATGAGACAAATACCATGCAGTGGCACCGTTTTGTTCAAGCAAGAAAAGCGGCCGCCCAGACAGACAAAAAATCTACGTTTAGAAGAAATCCTGTTCCTGTTCCCAGAAATTCAGAATGCAAAGATTGATATAAACATCGTAAATATCAATTCCAAAACCATTCCAAAGGTCTTAACCCAACAATTCATGATGAAAAAAGCTACAAGGAAGATAGCAAGACAAGAAATTCTGATGAGGTTGTCTGAATTTCTACCACCATGTTCTACAAAACCTAGATGTCCCTCTACCTGAACTGCCAATCAAACTATAGCAACAAGGAGCACTTCCCTCTAGTTTAACTTCCGGAAGGATAGAGATGTGAGATAGCTATGTGCCTGGGCCTGAATCTGTGAAGGCCCCATTTCTTGGTTATGTTGACACTGATGGATTATAATTTTAACAGAATAATAAGAGTTGGAAAGGACCTTCTAGGTCATCTAGTCCAAATCCCCGCCCAAGCAGGAGACCCTACACCATTTCTGACAAATGGCAGTCTTTTTGAAAGCCTCCAGTGATGAAGCTCCCGCAACTTCTGTTCCATGGGTTGATTGTTCTCACTGTCAGAAAATTTCTCCTTATTTCCAGGTTGAATCTCTCCTTGATCAGTTTCCATCCATTATTCCTTGTCTGGCCTTCAAAAGTGCTTTGGAAAATAGCTTGATCCCTTCCTCCTCTCTGTGGTAGCACCTCAAATATTGGAAGACGGCTATCCTGTCTCCCCTGGTCCTTCTCTTTACTAGACTAGCCACTTCTTGCAACCATTCTTTGTATGTTTCAACCTGCAGTCCCCTACTCACCGTAATATATCCAGGCTGCAATTTATATTTAATATCTTTTCTGTCACATTTGTAATACTGTACCCAGTTCTGGTCATCACAATAGGGGAAAAAAATGTTGAGATCCTGGAAAGTGTGAAGAAGAACAGAGAAGAGCAGTAAAGATGATTAAAGGTTCTGGAGGTGAAATTGTATTATGAATGGTTGAGGAAGTTAAGTATGTCTGTTGAAGAGAGGGATAAGGGGCGACATGATAGCAATCTCCCAATACTTGAGGGTTGTCACATAAGAGGGGACTTCTCTAGGGCACCAAAGGGCAGCTGAAATACCAGATGGAAACTCATCAGAGGGAAATCAAACCTACAGGTAAGAAAAAAAAATGTGGACAGTGAGAAATTAGTCAATGGAATAGTTTGCTTCCTGGAATTGTGGGTGCTCTTATCACTGGAGGTTTTCAAAAATAAACTGGAAAACCATTCGACAGGGACGGTATGTGTTGAAGGGGGGATTGGATTAGAAAACCTTCCAACCCTACGATTCTGTGTTTTTGTATTGTGGATTTTTTAAAAAAATAAATTTTCTTGATTTTACAATTAAAACAAACCAACAACACATACATAAATGAAAGAGAGAAAAAGAAGGAAGGGAGAAGAAAATAGAAAGGAAAAAAATAGAAAACAATTAAAAACATTCTCATCTTCAACAGTTTGTAAGACCTCTTTTTTAATCCTTGTTTTATGCCATATACACACACCTAATCCTTACATATATCTGTGTATCACTACTATGGATCTATCCTATCCTCTTTTGCCCTTTAGTGTGAAGTCTATCTTTGGTCTATCCATTTGTACCAGCAGTTCCAGCTGTTGTAGTATATTGAAGTATCTTTATTTTTTAATGCCAAAGTTAATTTGTCCATTTCTGCACAACTTGAAATTTTTTGAATGATCATCTCCTCTGATGGAACATGAGGCTGCTTCCAACATTGTGCAAAAGCCAATCTGGCCGCTGTCAAAATGTGTATTATTATATATTTCACTTTTTTTGATATTTGTTTATCAAAGATCCCTAACGGAAAGGACTCTGGTTTGAATTCGATCTGTTCTCTCGTCATTTCTTCCAGCCAATTTCTAATTTTCTGCCAATATTTTTGAGCTTCTGTACAGGACCACCACATATGGAAAAAATTTCCCTCTTTCTTTTTGCATTTCCAGCAATTCGGACTCATATTGGGGTGCATCTTCGCTAATCTCGAAGGAGGAAGATGCCATCTATAAAACATTTTATAGGCGTTTTCTTTGTATGCTACCGATTTTGTAATTTTATTATTTCTACCCCAGACCTTGTCCCATTCTGCTATGGTGATGCTACGTCCTATATTCCTACTCCAGGCTATCATATTCCCTTTTACAATTTCTTCTAATTCTACTTCCAATAAATAATTATAAAATTTTGCTATATTTTTTTTGCCTGATCCTAATAAAATTTTATCTAATTGTTGGAGTTTATTGTTAATTCCAAATTCTTTCTTGTCCTGTTTATATCTACTTTGAATTTGAAGATATGCCCACTGATCAATTTTAGTCCCCGCTCTTGAAGTTCTTGCCACGATTTCAAATTTCTTTGCGTATCCAATAGGTCCTTATATTTAATCATTTTAGTGATATCTAGATTATTTGGGTGAAATCCAAATTGGTATTTTTAAATAGTGTTTTTTCCATATTTTCTTCCAATTAGTTAATAATGAGTCTCTGATTAGGTGTCTGTGAAAATATTTCTGGCTAGTTTTCCCTACATCCCATAAAAAAGCATGCCACCCCCTCTGCAAGTCATGGCCTTCTAAGAATAATATTCTCTTATTGGTTGAATTCACCCATTCCTTCACCCATTCCGTATTGTGTTTTAACTGTTTAATAATTGTTTGCCACCCAGACTCACTGGTTTGAGATGGAAGGCTATACAAATGGTAAGAATGAATGAATGAATAGAATAGAATTCTTTATTGGACAAGGGTGATTGGACACACAAGGAATTCGTCTTTGGTGCACATGCTCTCAATATAAGAAAAAATAAAATACATCCAATGAATGAATGAATGAATGAATGAATGAATGAATGAACCGGAAGAGTAAAAATAATATCTAGTTTCATTGGTTGTGACATCTCAATCTAACCTCCAGCTACTGAATTTAATTCAAACATGAATTAATTCCAGGGAGGGAGGGAGGGAGGAAAGGATTCTTAGATTTTGATGCTTATCCGAGTTAAAAGTTCCTATCTTCTTTCCCGCATACAAAAGCAGGACAATAAGCTCATTCTCCTGATATTCATTTATTTTTCTCAGCTGTTGGTCTGGCTGCCAGCCACCATGTGGTGACAGTCACCAGAACTGGTGACTTTCATAACTGCAACAGCTGTTAATGGGATTAGCCAAGGAAACAGAAAACAAAACTTTCATTGACGGCCAACATACTCTTGGTTATATGGCCACTGTATTGTAATTCTTAGGGCTGCTTTCAGCAAGCCAGAAAAAAGAACAAAACACTGATCTATGAATTGTTCCCACGAATTACTTTGGGGACAGCTACATTGAAAACCCAGGGTCACGCTTTTAAAATAAAAGAAATGCTAATAAGTGAGGGATATCATTGGAAGAAAATATATCATCCGAAAATGTCACTCATTATTTTTATCTCTCAAAAAAGTAGGGTTAACCTAATCCTATTAATTTATCGAATTAGGTACATTGAGCTTTGTTTTATTTAGAAAAAAATATAAAAAGAAAATATTGAGTGGAAACTCAATATGGTGTCAAATGTTGATCGTACATTCCTGTGGAATTCTGGTAGGTATGCAATATGTCACGGGTGCAACATGAAATTATGGATTGGCCATTCCACACCCTTCATGGAGCTGTTGTGAGGTCATTACCAACTCCCTTTCAGAGCCTGGAATGCTGGTGGTTGACTTAAAAGAAAGTTATTCATCAGTCTAATTGAGTGTTTCTCAACCGTGGCAACTTGAAGATGTGTGAACTTCAACTCCCAGCATTCCTTTGAAGGTGTGTGAACTTCAACTCCCAGAATTCCTCTGAAGATGTGTGGACTTCAACTCCCAGAATTCCTCTGAAGATGTGTGGACTTCAATTCCCAGAATTCCTCAGTGATTCTCATTGCTGACTGGGGAATTCTGGGAGTTGAAGTCTACACATCCTCAGGTTGCCAACACCGCAAAATGCTGGTCTAATTATTTAAAAGGATCTCTCTTATCACACGCCTCATATGTCAGTCTACCGTTCAATGGTTTGGCCATCTTTATTCCCGGAAGGAGTCCAACAGTGCCATGATCGCAGACCTACTAAACTTACAGAGTTGTGCGCTCTGCCCAGAAGATTTCAGCAACAGCTTCAGTTCAAAGAGAACCAAGGCCACATGCACAGCGTGGCAACGCAAACGTTCGGTACGGAAAAGGAAAGCGATGGCAGCTTCGAACTGGGCTGTGAGGAACAAGACTTGGAAGTAGAGGAATGGCTGCTGATTCACGGCAAAATGTGATTCGCCTGAAGAAGAAAAGCACAAAGGGAAGAATGTTTTTACAGCTGATCTTCAACGACGCAGACGTCACTTGTGAAAAACAGGTTTGGGAAAGCAGACACGTTGCTAAATTGTTTATTTTACTGGACTTGCAACCACAACTGAGCCCAACATTTCCGTTACTAAGCAAGACAATTTGTGAAAGGAGTTTTGACCCATTTTACAAACCGTTCTTGCCGCAAGTTAAGTGAATCACTGCATTTGTTCAATTGATAACTATGGGTTTTAAGTGAATCCCCATAGAATTTGTCAGAAGGTCGTAAAAGGGGATCACATGACCCCAGAACACTGCAATTGTCATAAATATGAGTCAGTTGCCAAGTGTCTAGATTTTGATCACTTGGCCATGGGGATGCTGCAATTTTTATCAGGGTGATAACTGGTGCATAAGTCACTTTTCCCCTGTATTGTTGTAATGTCAAATGGGCACTAAATGAATGGTTGTAACTCAAGGACTACCACTTGAGCCAATTAACAGGAGTCGAAAGAATGACTACAGAATTTAAGAAATTTAAAATTCAGGATAAAAATTAACAGTGACCCAAGTCCCAACAAAATCAACAATTTACACTTGAACAGAAGAGGCAGGCTGATTTCCCTATAGCATAACCTCAAAGCAATGCGAGAGAAAATTATTTCCTAAGAATATTGGGAAGGTTTTTTTTTTAATTTGATTTTAAAATCTTGTCACTTCCAGAACCCTGATAGGATATCTTAATAACTGGAGATTTAACAAGAAAACTACAGAAAAGGTGGCAAAGTAGATGGAATCATAACATTTCTTAAATATTGCTGCTAAGATAAGATTATGGTATCAGTCTGGCTTTTGAACAAAAGTCATAAATTGCCAGTTTCAGAGTCTTCACTATCTCCTAAAGCCAAGGTGTTCATACAAGAACTTTTACTTTGATGTGCCATGTCACTTTTTTTGAACAAATTCATTTGTAAAAGTCCCAGCACCGGATCTGCTCAAGATCTGGGATCAGCTTTCTGCACAACAGAGTTTATTTTCAGAAATCTCCAGGTATTGTCCCTAGCTGAACTGACCGTAATCTTCAAGCAGTTGTTTCTGGAATTGGGACAAAGTCAGCCTGTCTTGCGGTGCACTAGAACTAGTCTCGTCAAAGCATACTTGATTCAGCTGGAAAAAGACAGAAAAATTAATTGAGCACCTCTCCTTCCTTTCCCAAGGGATGCATGCAATATATTTTCCAAAAATGGAATAGGCCTACACAAAACCAACACTGGATAGTACCAACGGGTCTGGGAGTATGGAGATCATTGAATAAACTGCGCATGGATACAAGAAGATCCAGAAGCACTCTGAACAAATGGAGCTATCTGGTGACTTCTGCCCCTTGCAATTGTGGTGACACGCAGAAAACAACACATATGTGTAGCTACCCTTGGTGTCGTGATCAGTGTACACCTCAGGACCTCATGGCATTGTGACAGAACACAATTAACGTGGCTAGTTTCTGAGCAAGATCTGTTTAACTTGTGCATTTTTAACTTGTGCACTTTCATCTTGTATTTTACATTTTCATGAAGTGAGGTTTCTTAAATCAAACCAATAAGCAACCCGAAGACTTAGGATGATAAAATTCTAGTTACAGATGAAAGTAACTAGAATGACTCCGGTGTATCTAATGTATGAAATGCTTTCCAGAATGACAACCAACAGAAAGAGAAAACACAGGAAGTTTTGATCCTATGTTTACATACATAACTATGTCATCTCTTGGAAGAGTGACTTTCTATTATATAGGTGCTGCAGTGGAGTAGGATAATAATAGCCGGACCATCTTCAATCATGTTTAAGTTTATATGAGGAGGAAAAAATGAATATTATAAAAAAATGGCAGCACAATCATTTTGAAGGAAAGTGATTACCTTCAGCCAAAGATAATCCTCTGTTTTATCCGCCACTTCACTGTGGTTATCGGCAATATCACACCGGCCTATGATACAATACACGGTTCTTTTGTAAGGATCAGTGTTGTTTCTCAGCGCCCGTCTATAATGGAGGCGAACTTTGTTCTCGGTGGCAGGAGAAAGCCTACAATTTTAAAAAGGGAAGCTGAAACTTGAGGTGTCTTTAAAACAATCAAATTTGGAGTTTCCTTCTCAAAGCAAGCTACCCATGCTTCAAAAGTGGTCTTTTGAGCCAAGCAGCTTTCCTGTGACAGAAATACTGTTTTCTTTTTTTTCTTTTAATAAGTTTTTATTAGGTATAAACTTTAAAAACATTGAACTGTGATCTTCTTTGACATACACTTTTGTCGTGGCATGTTACACTCAAAAAGAAATTTTGTACATTGATATACATATATACATTTAATCTTTATACATTTTGATTCCTTCCCATTTAGACCTTATTCCATTTTGCGAACTCCCTTTCATATCCCTCTATGGTAAAATTTATCAGAGGTGGAAGGGACCTTGTAGGTCATCTAGTCCAACCCCCTGCCCAAGCAGGAGACCCTACACCATTTCTGACAGATGGGAGTCCAATATTCGACTCATCTTTATCCTTCAGTTCTAATGTCAACCTATCCATTTTGGCACATTGTAATATCTTAACTATCACCTCGTCTTCCCTATGAATTTCTCTAGCCTTCCAATTTTGGGGAAATGTCATTCTTGCCGCTGTGATTACATGTATTATTAGAGAGGTATCAGCTTTACTATACTTCTCTGCCATTATTCCCAATAAAAACAACTCAGGTTTGTAGAAAAAAAATTAACCCCGTCGTTTCCTCTAGCCATAATCAAATTTTATACCAGAACTCCTGAGCCTTTTTACAGGACCGCCATACATGGTAGTATGTGCCCTATTCTTTTAGACATTTCCAACAATTAGGTGATTGGTTTCCATACATTTTGGCCAATCTAGCTGGTGGGAGATGCCACCTCTAGGACATCTTATACAGGTTTTCCTTGTACGATGTGTAAAAAAATGTTCTTTTTTTAATTTCGCTTTCCAGGTTGATTGGGAAATACTGTTTTCTTGATGCCTTTTTGCTGACTGAACTCCGCTGCTCATGTAATTCACAGTATTTTATATTGCAGAAACCGATCTAATAATATAATTTTCAGTTATCCAAATTCAGAGCTGTCATGTGGATCGAAAGAACAGATCTGAAGTACCTCCCACCGACATAATGTAGCTTCACACTCAGAAAGAGTGCTTAATTTTAAAAATAGATAGGTTCCAATTGAAGCAAAAAATAAAAGTGCATTTCTCAAACGGCTGCACCTTCTGTGAGTCCCAACTGCTTCAGAATCATGAATTTAAGGCAGTGTTTCTCAACCCTGGACACTTGAAGATAGATGTCTGGACTTCGATTTCCAGAATTCCCCAGCTAGGGAATTGTGGGAATTGAAGTCCACACATCTTTAAGTGGCCAAAGTTGAAAAACACTGGTTTAAGGCAAGGTTCTCCAACTGGCCACTTTAAGACTTGTGGACTTCAACTCCCAGTGTTCCTCAGACAGCTGGGAGTTGAAGTCCATGAGTCTTAAAATGGCCAAGGTTGGAGACCCCTGGTTTAAAGTATCAAAAGTCTTCCGCACAACTTGAAAGCCTGAAGCTCTCGTTTCTCCGAGTTGATTTTGAAGGGTGAGCAGAAATGCCCAGCATTTAAAGTTCCAACCAGAATCATGACTTTCAATGGAATTAGTTCTTCTGCCTCCCGCCACCCCCTGACATTCATACTTTTTCTTGGCCTCTTCCGGCGTTACCCAAGTACCTTTTGTCTTTGCTGTGCATGTACTCCTGGAACCAAGTTTTGAAATCTCCCAGCTGGTGCTGAGCCAGGTTCACCACTTGCATGGCCGCCATTAAGTCCCCGCATCGCATACAATAGTAAATGATTGCCCAGACAGGATGACCTTCCACTTCCCCATCCTAAAACAATAGAAGCAGGAAAACGTCCAGAGATTTGACTTGTTGCAGACAGTCCTTGACTTAAGACTGCAACTGAGCCCAAAATTTCAGTTGCTGAGAGAGACAGCTGTTAAATGAGCTGTGCTCCAGTCTACAGCCTGTCTTGCCGCAGTTGTTAAGTTAGTAAATCGGTTGTTGAGTGAATCTGGCTGCCAGGGTTCCTGCGATTGCCCTAATTAAATCATGAGCCTTGAGCCAAGGTTCAAAAGAAACCAAAATATTTATTAGGAGCCACATGACTGGCATTAACCTGTATAAAGCCAACTCTGAGACACCTAATTTATTATCACCTACGACCCTGTTTTCCTCCACTCCCCTCGGTGTGTCATAAATCAGATTCTCCAACGAAACAATCTCACTCTGCAATGCAGGATTTTCGTAGGCAGAAGATCCAGTAGCCTAGGCTACAATCTCCACAAGATAAGCATGCGGCACTGCTCCCTCAGGCCTTTCCCCCCTCCTGCTAATAGCAACTCGGAAAGAGGCATAGGAATGATTTACGAGTTGACATTAGTTTCCCCACTGACATGGCTTAGCAGGCGGTCGCAAAAGGGGACTACAGCACTCTGGGACACTGCAACTGTCATAAATATGAGTCAATTGCCAAGTGGCTGAATTTTGATCATATGACCATGGGGATGCTGCAATGGGTTAAGTGTGAAAAACAGTCATAAGTCCCTTTTTTTCAATGTCGATGTTCACTAAATGAATGATTATAAGTCAAGGACTTCCTATATTGTAACAAAGACCTTGAATTTAGGAGATAAATGTTGAAACGGTAAGTGGTACATACAATCAACTGAAGGTTCCTCTGTATAAAAATAAGTCTTGCACTTATTTAAAAAAAAAACACGCTTAGTGATATTCAAACCCTATCTGCCTTTTGGAAAAGGTGCTTATTCATTCTATATGGACATATTTTTAGAAATTATATTTGCATATTCATGAATGCAAATTTCATCTCTCAGGAGCCGCCAAAGATGCAGGGAGCCATTTTAGCAAAAATTTCCATTTACACAGATGTCTTTGTGCTCCAGACAGATGGGGAATTCTTCAAACTGCTATAGAATATATGGTCAGAGGGGAATTGGTGAACGCTGTTTCTCCCTTCTCTCATTTATAGAAAGCTTAGCTACGGAATGTGCTTTTCCGTGAATGAAAACACACCACCAGAGACCATCCGTTATTTTTTCTTGATGCGGTTTTTCATCACCGAATCCTCACGCTGAGAAGAATCTTAAGAGGTTATATTGCAGAAATCTCTATTCATTGCAGCACCTTCCTTAAATGTGTTTACATTCTGCCAATGAAGAAAAACCCACTATCTTGCCAAGCCATTTACAAAATCCCACCGTTAAACTGATCTCATTTTTAGAAATGTTCTCCCAATGCTCATTCAACATCTGGTTCTTTGCAGTTTCTGCTTATCTAAATCCCGGTCTCTTTTCAGGATAACATTCTTTATTTACGGGACCTATCAAATGCTCATTTTTCCCTTTGTCAGGTTAAATATACCAGGCTGTTTTTCTGATCTATGTTCTTTTTAAAATGTAGCACCCAGATGTGAAAATGCTATTTCACGAGCAGCTTG